GTGGGTTCACCCTATGAAACCCATTAGTAAATCAAATTTGAAAACTTATGTATCCCATGAGAAATTGAGAACTGGAAGTATGAGTCAGGAACCTTCTGCTAGTAGAGACGTTCCCTCTACAAGTTATGACCCTTTTCCTCCTTCTAGCTCCCCTACCTTAGCAGATTTGATGAATGAGTTGACCTTGCAGCGGAAGAGCATAGATTTGATAAATTAGATGATTGGACGTTTAGAACGCCGACATGATTATGATAGTGAGTACATGCATAGGCATTCTGATTTTGAGATAACTATTATGATGCTCAGGCCCGACACTACAGAGGAGAGCCTGATGTTACATTTCCAGAATACCCCCGATATACTCAGTATCAACCTGATCCACCTGCTGATCAAGGTGACGATGAAATAGTTTGGGATTTTGATATTTAGAATGAGATTGATGTACTTATGTTTGTATTTTTATTTATTTTTATGTTATGTAATCTTTTTTATGAGAAAAATGAATGAGTATGTAATTGGACTTTCATTTAGTGCACTTTGTGGATTGTGATGTGATGTGATGTTTATTTTCATTTTAGTATTTTTGTCTTTTATTTAGTATTGTGGTTGTGTTAGGAAATGTTGTGTTTGTTTTAGTTTTATACTTGTTTCAAAATTTCATTTCCTAGAAATTCCTCTAATGATTTATATGTGTAGAAAGCTCCTAATATTTCACATCAGGTGAGTAAAAATTGGAAAAGGTCTGCAGAAATTTCAGAATGATAAAGATGCCTACAATGTTGAGGTATGATTTATATTTATAGTATTTTCTTTCTACCTTTATTTCATATTTAAAAATTTAAGTTTGGGGGAGGGAAGAAAAAAATTAACTATTAGATGTCCTCTATTTCAATATTTTCAAAAATTATTTATATGATTTATGTAGTAAATTTAATTCAGGTAACTATATTTTTGTAACTATTTAAATATTATGGTAGATTTAAAGAAATATTTTTGTAATGAAAATTAATTTTGTAACTTAAGATATTTAATATAAGAGAATAAGATTATAGTTAACTATTTAAAGTAAAGGAAACTATATTTTAAAGTATTAAGAATCTGGAATTTCAATTGAGAAGAAAAGATTGGGGCTCAATGATGTAAAAGCTATGAAATACTTATAGGTAAGAAATGCTTTGAGTTTCAAATTTAGGGATAGAAAAGTG